AAGACCCTGCACCGCTCAGCGGCGCAGGGCTCCCCACCAGCCAACATGGCAGAAGACCCAACCTCCGAGAGAGGCGATGCCATCCCAGTGGCCAAGCAACGCTACGTGGCGAACCTGGCGCGACGGGCGCGGCGCCGCGCCTCCTCAGCAGCAGGGCCTTGCTTTTGCACTTGCTCTTGCCCCCGACCTGGAAGAGCAGGAGTAGGTTGCGCGGCAGCGGGACAAACTGCAAACCGCTCAGCACGACGAGCGGCTCTAGACAGTTGAACGCCATCGGCAAGAGGATCGGCATGACGAGCCACTCGAATACGAATGACCGCGGGCGCCCAAGGGTCGGCGACCACGGTCCATGGGTCGGTCTTGCCGCCGCACTTGTTCTCGCCCTTGCCTTCTTGGGGGCCCGGAGGAACAGCAGCAGCTTCAGCAACCCCCTTGCCCTTGTCGATGTCCTTGCCCTTGCCCTTGCCAGAAAAAGGAACCTCGCTGGCAGGGCCCCCCGGGAGCACGAGCAGGGGCGTCGACGGGACGACCTCCTGTGCGGGCAGAGGAGGCCGCAGAAGGCGCACCTCCAGCACCAGGGCGAAGAGCGTGAGCGAGTGCAGCACCCAGGCGGCTCGCCTGGCAGCCCCGGTGCCCGAGGTGGCTTGACGGCCCGAGGCAGCGCCCGTGCAGCGCGCGCGCGGGCTCGGGCAGCCTGGCCCCGGCGCTCCGCAGCCGTGCGGCGGGGGCGCGAGGTGCGCCGCGGCGCCTCCATGGCACACGGAGGCAGGACAAAGCGCGGCGCGGGAGGGGGCGGGGGAGGGGGGGGGGAAAGAGGAGGAGGAGGAGGACCAGCGTAAACCCAGGACTCGTCAACGGTGTTGGAGTACACCCTCCCTCTAAGCTTCCGTTTGAACAGTGCTGGGGATGCTGGGGGACGTGCGCAAACAACCGCAGAGGGGGAATGGAGGATGACGATCAAAACAAGACCTGGGGTCGTGTTCACGCGACGGTGCCTGGAGTGATGTTTAGAAAAACCCTCGGGCCGGGAATCTATTTTTTTATTCGTTCCCTCCCGCCCTCCTCGGGCGCGCGCCCCGACGGCCGACAGGCCAGACGGAGCCGAAACGGAGGGTTAGGAGGAAGGGGTAAAAAAGAAAGGGGGGGAGCCAAAAGCAGCGGGGCGCAATTACATCGACGACCGGATAGCACCTGTAATTATCCAGCTGCCTGATGGAGATCAGGAGGTGCAGTTGAAGATGGAGATGGATGATAAGGAGGTGGTGATGAAGATTATATGTGTTATATGTGTTTCGGTCGCAGTTGCGGCGGTTACGTCTGCAGTTGCGGCCGCGGCGGTGGTCCCGGTTTCACAAGTTCGAGATATAATTTTCTATTCCTGATTGTTCTCCTCATTTGAAAAGTCAGTTCTGCGATTCAACCGTTCCACCCTGTTTTTATTAATCGACATCCTACATCATTTAGAATTATACGATGCGACGCGACGATGACCGCACGCCACTTTGTGTGGCCACTGCTGTATAGAACGTCGTCACGTGCCCGCCCGTTGATCTGACGGGCACACACTTGTGCTGCTCACGGCGGCGCCTTGTCGACAGGACTGGCCGTCCCAGGGCCCCGCAACTCTGCAACAAGACCCTCTCCTCCACCTTCTCCTCTGGGACGGGGTGGCTGAGGCACTGGACAGTTCCCGAAGAGCCAGCACAGGGGCGACAAGAACAACCTCATCGGCTGCACAACCAGGTAGTCCAGAGCTGTGACGGTAGAATGCAGCCCTATCAGGGCCAGGAGGCTGCTAGACAAGTAGGGCCAGTACTCTCCGAACGCGAGCCTCCCAGATGATCCCACCACCTCCTTCCCAGAGGCGCTGCCAATTGTCAGAATCCCTCTCGCTGAAGGGACCGCCGATTCTGCTGCCGATGAACGTGAAGCGCACATGCAGAAAGCTCCACCGCCTTTCCTCGGCCTCGTCATCCTCGTCTCCCGACTGAGGCGGCGGTGGTGGTGAGCGGCGACGTGGACTGGCACCTCTGGCCCCCTCGCGTCGCCTCGGGAACCAACCTCCTTCTGGCAGTTTCTCCTCCACCGCTTCCAGCAGCTCTTCCCCAGGCGGGTCCTCCTTCTGCGGCACCACTTCGGACACGACCGCGGGCGCTGCTCCTCCGCGTGGCAGCGCCGGGCTCCCTCTCCCTTTACCGCCTGTAGGGACTGGGGCTTGGGGCTTGGGGGCTGCCTGCCCTTTGCCGCCCAGCCCCTCCTCAGATCTCTGGTGTTTCGCCTCCTCGGGCGTCGCCACCCCTAGCGGCACAGCACTTGACCTCCCACTTTGCCTGTGGGTAAGGGCGAGCAGCTCGGCAGCCGTCGCCGACTCCTCCTCGCTCTCTCCTGGCAGCCAACGGTCCCAGGCCGGCGAGTGATTGTCTTCCTCAGACCCAGCTGCCATGGGGAGCGCGGGCGTGGCTCCACTGACCCACTGGCTGAGGGTGCTGGCGGCAACCAGCCTGATGACCATAGGCGCGATCGCCACCATGCTGCGCGGCACGGCGCCAGCCTGAGCCTCCGGCGCGGGGCCGCCCTCGCTGCTTCGCCCTCCGGCGGGGCAAGCCCGCGCACCTGGCCGCCACGGCGCCAGGCGCGAGGCGAAACGCCGATTGCCCTGGAGCCGTCGGGCCGCGCGGCCTGGGCGCCAGGCTGCCGCGGCAGCTGGCGCTGCACCGATAGCCGGCGCGCACAGTGTGGTATTAGTCGCCCCAGTAGAACTTGAGCCCAAATGGGCAGCGGAGAGGGGCAGAGAGAGGAAGGAGAGAGAAAGGGCCCCCCCAGCCTTTCCCAGTTACTCAAACCTTCCTTTCTGCTACGCCCGAACTCTCCCTCTCCATTAGCCCCTACAAAGGTTCATTTCCACAGGGAATTGTTCCGTTGGGGGACAACCGTGTGAAAATCCTGAAGCGTGTCAACACACCATTCTCAGGATTTCAACGTCACGAGTCAATTTGACTGTTGCGTATTGACGATCCTGAATCGTTCCAGAACGCAACTCCTGGGACTCCAATTCAGCGAATCAACGTAACTGTTGCGCCCTGGCGCTCCTGAATCGTTTCAAACACAATTTCTGGTATGCTATCAATGAGAATCAGTGAAATTCTTGTTATTTGTAACACCGAGTGTGCGCGGCGCTAAGGCGGAAGCTATATCCGTAAGGGCTTCGCCCCCTGCCGCCGGCCCCCCATTTCGGAGAATGCGCTGTGCGAGAGCTATTTCATGAGGCCTGGGCGCCGTCGTGAGGCCGATTCGTAATCAGCAAAACCAAGTGACTTGTCTTGTGAGCCTGACCCCGCCGATCTGCGTGAGGGGTGCCACCGAATTTCAGAAACGTGGCAAATCCCATATGTTTTTGGACCCTGACCCCGCCGATCGGCGTGAGGGGTGCCAGCAAGTTTCAGAAATGTGGCAAATCCTACATGTTTTTGGACCCTGACCCCGCCGATCTGCGTGAGGGGTGCCAGCAAATTTCAGAAATGTGGCAAATCCCCTGTGTTTTTGGACCCTGACCCCGCTGATCTGTGTGAGGGGTGCCAGCAAATTTCAGAAATGTGGCAAATCCCATATGTTTTTGGACCCTGACCCCGCTGATCTGTGTGAGGGGTGCCAGCAAATTTCAGAAATGTGGCGCATCCCATGTGTTTTTGGACCCTGACCCCGCCGATCTGCATGAGGGGTGCCAGCAAGTTTCAGAAATGTGGCAAATCCCATATGTTTTTGGACCCTGACCCCGCCGATCTGCGTGAGGGGTGCCAGCAAATTTCAGAAATGTGGCGCATCCCATGTGTTTTTGGACCCTGACCCCGCTGATCTGTGTGAGGGGTGCCAGCAAGTTTCAGAAATGTGGCAAATCCTACATGTTTTTGGACCCTGACCCCGCCGATCTGCGTGAGGGGTGCCAGCAAATTTCAGAAATGTGGCAAATCCCATATGTTTTTGGACCCTGACCCCGCTGATCTGTGTGAGGGGTGCCAGCAAATTTCAGAAATGTGGCGCATCCCATGTGTTTTTGGACCCTGACCCCGCCGATCTGCATGAGGGGTGCCAGCAAGTTTCAGAAATGTGGCAAATCCCATATGTTTTTGGACCCTGACCCCGCCGATCGGCGTGAGGGGTGCCAGCAAATTCCCGAAATATGGCAAATCCTAGATGTTTTTGGACCCTGACCCCGCCGATCTGCGTGAAGGGTGTTAATTTTTACCCACCCCAGCAATTCAGACAGCACGCTCAGGGCGTGGTAAAAGTGCCCGTTTTGGGCCTCCCCGCTTCGCGCGGTCCATCACCAAGGAACAGTAAGCAGCAAGAAGTCAACAAGGAACAGTAAGCAGCAAGAAGCAGAACTGTAACAGTGGAAACTGGAAGCTGCAACTGGTACAGGAAACTGCGAAGCTTCGGCCTACAGCTTGGTGGCCCCACAAGGGGGCCGGCGGATTTTTAAAAGGATCTGCCCTCAATCTTTTAAACTCTTGTAAATGAAAACAACGAATGTGCGCGGCGCTACGGCGAAGGCCACATTTTGTGAACGATCCGCCCTCAACCCGTGAAGCTTTTGGACATGTTTAGGACGAATGGGATCGGCGCTAAGGCGAGAGCCACATGCAGAAAACGACCCGCCCTCAATCGGTAAAGTTTTTTTTGTTATGTGTGTGCGCGGCGCTAAGGCGAGAGCCATCTTTTGGAAGCGACCCGCCCTCTACCTGTGAAGCTGTTGCAAGTTTTCAGCTCCAGGCTCACGCACGGAGAGGACGCCTCCGGCGAACCGCCCGGCCCGCCCTTTCCGACTGGCCCCGGGGTGCGACCGAGAGGGAGTTGGGCAGTAGAAAGAGGAATGGGAGAGGAGGCTCTCTGGATGCGCCTCCCGCGACCTCGCCGATCGCTCGCCCCCCCCACCGCGGCGACGGCGAGGGCCTCGTGGACGGCCGCTTCGGTTCGGGCGGCGGCGGCGCCGCCGCCCCGAGGCTCCGCCGAGCGGCTGGAGCCCGCGGCGGAGGCCCTCGGCCGGGGCGCGCACGTCGGCGACGGAGGCCGCGGAGGCCCCGCTCCCCCCGGGGGGCCTCGGGCGGGGAGGGGGGGGAGTCAGGAAGCCCAGGCCCCCTCGCGTCCCTGCGAGGAGTCGCACGCATGGAGCGGGGAAGGCGTGTGGACTAGCGTCAAGTCGGGCCTGTCCCTCTACAGGGAGACTATTCAAGAAGAGTCAAAACATCGTATGTGGATTTTTTGTTGTTATATATACACACACACACCTTATTTTTGAGCATGTATGGAGTACTTTTTGGGGTGTTTGTAATTTTTCGCGCAAAAGCCCCCTGTAAGGGGGACCGGCCCGACTCAAGATTAGCGACGGGTCCCGTTTCCATACGTAATCGGCGCGGTCCGTCGCTGGATCAGGCGGCAGTGGCCTCCTGTTTCGGGGGTGCCTTCCCGGATTCGTGGATCTGGCGCCCGCGCGCCAGGTCCACAGGCACCCGATCCATGTTGGCGTGTGCCTCAGCTAGTCCCTTGAAGTCCAGGCGTGGCATTTTTTGTTACACCCCGCGCTTTCGCCGGGTGTCGGGCCCCGGGGCCTTCACAGATCGATTTGGCTGTAGAAATTCAGCAGACATATGGGGTCTGTGAGGAGGAGATGGAGGTGAGGTGAGTGGCGGGGCCATTCGGTGCTGCTTGCTGACCGTCGTCGCCGCTCTCGTCTGTCTGTCGTCCCTGTCCTCGTTCGTCGCCGCTCGTCGTTGACGTCGTGTCGGCGGCTGCCGCTGTCCTCCTTGCCAGCACCTCGCCCCCTCTCCGGGCGCGCGCGAGGCCAAATTGCAGTATCGTCAGACTGATCTCCAGCCCCAGTGGTCCATGGTATATGAGCCCCACCATCCCACTCCCTCAGCTGGGGAGGGGCCCCGCGAAGCCCGAATGGAGAAGCGTATATCCCGATTTAGGGGGGTAAATCGGCCAGCGGGTCTAAGGCCATGCAAGTGGGGATGGGAATCGATTGAGCGATGTTCAACGCTGGGCCCCCAGAATCCTAACGCTCTTCCTTCTCCTGCCCCCTCCGTGGCGCACTCCTGGAGTCGCGAGTCGCGAAGCACCCGCCGCGGAGGCATGTGGCCCTTCTCCTCGGGCGAGGAGGAGGGTGGCTCGAAGAAGAGGAATGCCGCCAGCGCGGGCTCCAGCAGCGCCGCTCCGGCGGGCGAGGCCGGTGATGGGGGTCTTGTTTCCTCTTATATTGGGAAGGCCTTGCGGCCGGTTCCGCCGACCCTGGACGAGGTCGCGAGCCTTGAGACGGGGGTCAATGTAAACGGTGGTCATCCAGAGTCTGGGATTTTGCAAGATCTTGTATGATTCATTGGCTTACGCCGCACCGCCGACCCTTTGGGGCGGCAGCATGAGTGAAAGACAGAATTCGCTGAACGCGCGCGATCGCTGGGCAATCTTAGGGTTTCGGCCTGTCCTACGTAGCGTGTGGTGTTGAAGTTGTTCGTGGTGTTATGTGGGGTTCTCGGGGCCTTCACGGGGCCTGTCCCAAGCCTCCTTTTCCACCCCCTGGATAGGCTCGGGGATCGTTGAGACCCAGCTGGGGTTGCGTCCGGCCAGAAGTTTGAGAGTGGACCCAGCTGTGTCGACCAGGAGCTTCCTGAAGGCTCAGAGGGGGCGGAGACCGCCCAAGAACTAGGAATCTCATGCCTCGAGCCTCGATCTACCCCGTGTACCTTCCTTTGCGAAGGGGGGGCACCAGCCAAGGAGGTCGATCCTCATCCCGGACCCTCGGCTGTGGTCACCGGCACCGAAAAAGGGCCCTGGAGGCTGAATTCGAGGAGATGCCTCGGGTGGTCGATAGACCACGAAAATCTGTGAGACATCGTCGGCGACGACGATTTTTTTTCTTGTTTTTCATCCTCTCCCTTCTCTTCCTCCTCCTCCTCGTCCTTCTCGATCGAGGTAGATGCCCGCGGCAGTTCCGGACGCCTTTCCAGAGATTTTTGCTTGAACAGCTTTTGTTTTTGATAGGTTTCGGTCTCGGGGGGCCGTTGCTGGGCCCCAGGATTTCAAAGCAGGACGGACCTGGGGAGAGTTGCATCAGCGGGCCGGGGGAAAGGTTCGGGGAACGAATTTGTGCGGAGTAGCCCGTCGGACTCGGGAGGTTTTTTGTGGTCGGGAGGGTTCTGGGCCCTTCCCGGGTCGTCGCGGCGGGATGCATTTGGGAACGCGATTGCGACTGGATTCCGGGAAGGGTTTGGGGGGCCCATGGCGAACGATTTTTGCGTGGGGAAAAGAGAAGAATTTTGCTGCAGAGTCTTAGTATTTCCAGTTCTTTCGTGGTTTTCGTCGTCGAAGGCCGCCTCCAGGCCCCGGGGTCATTCGAGGGCATTGTGGATCCCCGTCAGGGCCTCTTGGGTGTATGTAGGCGCCCTTTCAAGTTGTCTCGGGGCGACATGATCGAATTCTCCATTCGGGTTCCCTTTATTACCCTCCTCTTGGGGCCGTCCTAGGGCTTTCCCTAGTGTGTGCCGTGTCGGAGCCTTCTTGGGGGCATGCGGGTGTTTTTGGGTTGATTTTGGGTGCTTTTTGGTTTGTTGTGGGACTCGTGAAAGTTCGAGGAGGCAAGCGCTGCCGCCCAGGCCTGCACCAAGTGCCTCCCGTGCAAGGACGGCTCCAAAGGATGCCGAGCCTGCAGGGGCGAGTGGTTTGAGGCCGTGCGCAACAGAGGTTTCTTGGCCAGAAGCGCCAAGGTCCTCTCTTGCGCAGGCAAGTTGTAGCGACGAGCCTCGAGATCTCTCGAGTAGCGCCCAAGATCATCATCATCATCATCATCATCATCATCATCATCATCATCATCATCATCATCATCATCATCATCATCATCATCATCGTTTTCAACATCATCATCATCATCGTCATCAGCATCATATTGTCATCATCATCATCATCATCATCACCATCATCATCATCATCAGAATCATAGCCATTTGCTCAAGCTGCTGCTTGGTCTTGGCTTCCAGGCGCTGCTGCGCCCGTCTGCTCGTTCGCTGCTGCCGATGGTCGTCGCTGCCCAGCTCGGCTGGCTACGCCAGCGCATCTCTGCCGGCGTGCCTGGGCTTCTTCACATCGGATCGGCGCTAGATCCCACGAAATGCAAGGCAAAGGTGATTCTCACCCCCCATAGTGCGGCCCTGACCCTGGTTGCCCAAGCGCTCCTTCTCGGCAGTTTGGACACCATGGAGGGCCTGATCGCGGATCGAGTTGTCGTTGATCGTGGGCATAAGTGCTCGAGTGTCGCGGTCGAGGCGTCGTTCTGGATTTCGGATGGTGTTCGCCCGCGTCCCACCGTGATGACGACGATGACGATGTCGGTGGCGGTAGTGGTGATGCGCCCGATGGCGGAGGTGGTGGCCGCTGCCCTCGCTTTGGCGATCGTCCTGATCCTTGGCATGGCCCTGGAGGGACTGACCCCTGGGCTGCGGCTGCTGCTGGCCTGAAGGAACCTGCCTACAAGAAGCTTCGACAGCAAACGCCTGCTGGCGTTGGTGCTCGTCCAGGTGCTTCTGATGCTGGTGCGCCTGGGCGACAATCACCAAGGTGCTCGCGCCGCTCGTGACGCTCAGCCTGGACATCCACTGGGCCGCACAGCCGGGCTCTCTTCCGCTTCTTCTTCGGCAAACTCCCCTGCCCGAGGTCTGCCTGAGATTCTGTCACGCCTTCCTGGTGCTCCTGCTGCTCGTGCTGCCGATCGTGCTCGCGTTCTTCTTCTTGGCCCTCAGGCATGATCTGTTGGACGCCCAGCGCGCTCTCGAACAGAATCGGGATCTGCTTTCTCAAGTGGACTGCCAGGTGGAGGTGCTACCAGATGATGCTGAGTGGGCAGATAGCGCCCGGCAGTGGGCAGTTGGCGTCCAGAAAAAACTGCTCGAGGATCTGAGTGCCAGTGAGGCCCGAATTTAATCCTTGTCGTGCCAGTTGTTCACTTGGTCTCTGTATGTCTTTGCCCTCTTCCTCCTCCTCCTCCTCCTCCTCCTCCTCTGCCGCGTTCGCCTGTGAATTTCGACCTGTTGCGTGCCTGCGTCGCATACTTGTTAATCCGGTGCAGAATCTGCGCAGTGGAGTGCACGAGCATCATCATCAATATCATCATCATCATCATCATCATCAGCATCGTCATCATCATCATCACCATCCGCAGAACATCGCCTTCGCCGGGGAAATCTTTGATTATCCCCGACGGACCCCCGAGCATTATTATCCCACGGGGATTATTAGCGGGAGCAGTTGGTTAAACTTTGACTTTTCCTTTCGGGAAGGGGCCGAGGTGTGGTTATACCGGGCTTCTTGGGACGCGCCCTGGTGGTGCGTTGGGGCGTCTAGGGGGCCTCAGGGGTCAGCTGGAGGCAATTGCGGGCGTCAGTTGCGGGCCAATATAGATATACACACATATATATGTATATGCATGTGTATGTATGTCTGTATGTATGTATATGTTTACGTATGTATGCATGTGTGTCTGTCTGTCTGTCTGTCTGTCTGTCTGTCGGTCGGTCGGTCGGTCTGTCTGTGTGTATGTATGTATGTATGAATGAATGTATGTATGTATGTATGTATGTGTGTATATATATATATATAGAGAGAGAGAGAGAGAGAGAGAGAGAGAGAGAGAGAGAGAGAGAGAGAGAGAGAGAGAGAGAAAGAGAGAGAGTGGCCTGCGGCCCATCCCGCCACCGTGCCTTGGTTTTCGGCCTGAGATCGCTGGTGCTTGGGTTGCGGTTTAGAAATCGCATGCCTCAGTGGTATTTGTTTTTTTTAGCTTCTTGGGGGCCTCTTGGGGCCCTCGGGGGCCTCTTGGGGCCTCTTGTGGGGCCTCTTGGGGGCCTCATGGGCCCTGTTGGGCGCCTCTTGGGCCTCCCTGGGGCCGTTTTGGGGTGGAAGGCTTTGGATTGTTGGTTCAGGCTCCCCTCTTGGGCCCTTCTTTGGGCCGTCTCCGGGCACTCTTGGGTCGTTTTGGGATCCTTTTGGGTCGTCTTGGCGCCCTCTTGGGCCGTTTCGAGCGTCTCTTGGGAGCCTCTTGGGCCGTTTTGGGGCGGTCTTGGGGGACACTGGGGCCGTATTCGACGCCGTGAAGGCCGAACAGTCGTGTATGATACAAATATAGGATCCTACGAAGTGAGCCGGGTCAGTGCGTCCCCGACGAAGTGGGCGGAGGCGCGCGAGGGGAGCAATGGTGGAGGTCTCTGGGGCTAGTTCGGGCCTTCTATGGCCTTTTTGAAGCCTTTTCGAGACCGTCATGGAGGCCTCTTGGGCCGTCTTGACGCTCTGCTGGGCCGTCTCGCGGCCATCTTGGGGGCTTTTTGGGTCGTCTTGGGGCCGTCTTGGGCCATCTTGGAGATCTTTTTAGGCGTTTTGGGGCCCTCTTGGCCGTCCAGGTGGTCTCCTCGGGCCGTCCCGTGGCCGTCTGGGGTTGGCCTGAAAACGGCCCAAGAGACCGCCAAGATGGTCCAAGCTGGCCCGAAGATGGGCCCACGGGTCCCCAAGACGCTTCCACGACGCCCCCAAGCGGCTCACAGAGGTTCAGAAGAGGCTCCCAGAGGCTTCCCAAATGGCCCCGAGAGCTTAAAATGTTCAAACAACTTGTGACAAACCGTAAGTGATTGAAGAACTCGCCGGTTCATTACCGATGGGCTTAGGAGGTCTGTGTGGATGGCTCCCAAACGCCTGGAACGGCTCCACGTGGAGCCCCAGACGCACCCCGACAGTGGCCCGAGAAGGGGAACGTGAAAGGAGAACCCCATATCTTCGTTCGAAGAGGGCCCCCCAGGTGGCCCCGAGAGGCCCCCAAGACGCCCCCAGAGGCTCCCAAGAAACCGCCAAGAGGTCCCAAGGGTACCCGAAGAGACCCCAAACAACCAAGAGAGACCCGCAGAGCACTTGAAAGAAAGGGCATTCACACATTTCCCGTCTTTTTCAAGTTCGCCGCGGCCCATGGGGCACATCTTTCAAAGGGAAGTCTCTGGTTTTGAAAAGGAGTGCTTGATGAGACTCGTGAGGAGCGGGCATGGGACGGGAGGGTGTACTACAGCATCGTCGGTGCATCCTGGGGTTATTCTGGTCCTTCTTTTTTCCTCCTCCAGCTGCTGATGCTCCTCCTGCTCCTGCTCCTCCTGCTTCTGTCTGCTCCTGCTGCTCCTCCTGCTCCATCTCCTCCTCCT